TGTTAACGCAAACCAAAGATGCCTTTTAAAAAACAAGTTTACATCATATTCTTATGCATGCCAGTGCTGTGTGTGAGGTAATTTAAGGTGCTTCTGACAAGTGTCGTCGGTATCTTCATACCCGGTCACATGGGCGGCAAGCCACTCCCACAAAGGAGGCCACACCCACAGAGTAGGTTCGAACAATTTTTGAAACCCACCACTGCCAGTATCTTATTAAAAACCTCCAGTGGTGAAGCACTCAGAACTTCTGAAGGCAAGCTGTTTAACTGTTTTCTTTATAGGTTGCATCGCTCCTTGATTAGTTTCCACCCATTGTGGATTCTTATCCGGTCCTCTGGTGCTTTGGAAAATAAATTGACCCCATTCCCTCAAATACTGGAATACTGCTATCATGCCACCCCCACTCCTTCTTTTCTCTAGACTAAGCCAAACCTAAATCCTGCAACTGTTCTTCAAATGTTTTAGTCCCCAGGCCTTTAATCATCTTAGTTGCTCTTCTTTGCACTGTTTCCAAAGTCTCAACATCTTTTTTGTAATATGGTAACCAAAACTGGATGAATTATTCTAGGTGGGGTCTTACTAAGTCTTTATAAAGTGGTACTAAATAGTTGACTTGATTTTGATTCTATATCTCTGTTTATACAACCAAGGATTGTATTAGCTTAATTAATATATAATTAACAAATTAAAGTAAAGATTTTTTTTTCCATATTTTAAGGAGAACTTTAACCATTTTAGTTTATAATTCCTGTCTGTTCCCCACACTTCCTAGAGTTTAATAAAACTTGGATTCCAAAAGGGTCCTATTTATTTACAAAGTTAATATTAGCATCCTTATTTAGTACAGCCAGGTCTAATTAAAACTTATTTTGATAAAACTAAGATCTTTCTCTTTATTTTATTTTACATCAATAAAATATTCACTGATGTTCAACTGCACTAGTTTGTGAATCTCACAAGATTGGTGGAAGAACCCAGGTCATATATCATCATTCACCCAGTGGCCATATTATCATGTCCATATCTTAGTGATCTAACTAAGTATAATTTGGTACAGCTACAGTGCAATTTTTGAACCAGTTTTAGTTTTGTGATATTTATTGGTTATACTCACACAAAGCAGGAGAAACACAGCTGTAAAATTTCTCCAAGTCACATTCTGTGCCGTTTCCTTTTCAACAGGTGCATGGAACAGTTGCAGCAAATGAAAATTAGCAATATAAACAAAACTATGAATAGCACTTTCAATCTTATATTTCCATTCATCTAACAATGCAGCTTTATATCCACTCACAGGACATTTATAACATCTCTTTATATAGGAGAAAGAAGAAAATAACAGTATTTAGATTAACCTAGTCTATTGATGAATCAAATGGCAATTTCAGCCATTCTTTCTAGTACTTGTATCTCCTTTTAGGTTTTCCCTGAAAGTGGTATACAGAGAAGGTCTATATGTAGCAAAAATAGAATGTCCACTCTCTCCATAGCATAGGTATAATCACTGTTGCATTAATTATGATTTGTCACATTTATATATTTCTATTTTGAACCCATTTGTATTTTAATCTAAATGTATTGTAACCTCTGCTTTTGAACATCTTGGTAACTTTTTCTCCAATCATGATTCCTACAGTATTATTGGAATTTTTTTTTTAACCCACACCCTTTGCAAAATAAGAAGTAATGTGTCAAGTTGTACCTGGCAGCATAAAAGGTAAACATCCACAGTACTTTTGTATAAGGTGGCCCTTGCATTCTTGTAGACATCCATATGTACTGTAGATTTGATGATGCTGAAGCTTAATGTTTGGGTTGCATTCTCCCCAAGGGTATTCTTGGATAATTGTCTGATGTGAAAAAAGGAAGTTTTATTTTGAACAAATGGCATCAATTTTAATGGCAAAGTATTGATGGAACAACTTTTAAAAATTAAACCCAGGAAAGTAATCACTGTTAAATGAACATTTTTAGCACACATCATCTTCAAATACAAAACACAACTGAATACACTGTGAATTATATTCCTGGGTTGAAATAAATAAAAAACATTTTGCTTTATGGCAGAATCAAGGTCCTATCTCAATGTAACTTTTAAAGGATCCTTTTTCATACCCCTTTTACCCTCTAATCCCCTAATCTTATTTATCCCTATTTTTTTCCAAAAGCAGTTCATTATCAGGATTGATTTTGATTTAACAATGAAGATCAACAATTATTATTGTAGACTAAACCCTAAAGTTCTGTAATCTTTTAAAAACATGTTTATATAATTGTTACATTAATCAGATTTATATAATCCTAAAATTGATATACATGATTTTTAAGGCAGTTATTCAATATTTCAATATTCCATTTTAATGCCAATGATGTTATAAATGTATATGGTAATACCATCTTTCAACTTTAGTCTTTCCCATCAAATTGTTACTTATATTCTATTATATAAAAAGAACGCAGAAAATTATATCTGCTAATATTATCCCTAAATCAGGTCACTATTATTAATCCTAGTATATAAAGGTGTGTATTCTTCTTTCTTCCTCTATAAATTTCTAATCAGGCCATCATTATATTAGAAAAAAGAAGAAAAAATATATAGTAATTTCTTTCTATTCATCGTTTTAATACTTCAATTCCTATTCATTTTTTGCCTCCCATATTCCTGTCTTGGATCTTTATCTTTATCAACATCTGTATCTTCACCATTCAGACTGAATATTTCTCCCATCTCTATCCTCCTAATCTGCCAGGTCTCCAGAATATCTACCCACGGCCCTATCTCCCTTTCAAAAGTATCTTCCCAGTTATCTGATTCCATTTTTAAATTTCTTAATGTACTTTTCCCTTGGTTTATTTCATCAATCATTATTATCTTTATCATCTTCTCCTTCCCATCTTTTGGTTTTGTTTGCTGGCTTGTCTGTTCTGTCTTTTCTTTCATTTTTGTCTGCTATCTCCTTTTTCCTGGACTCTTTTATCTTCATTCATCATCAATTGTAGCATATTTTCTATTTTCCCATGTATGCTTTGCATTATGTACTTCATCTCTCTGTGATTCTTTTCCTTAGTACCCCTAATGGTTTGAAACATCAACACCATTTCTCTTGAAATCTCACTCCTTTCCCCCTGATGAAGCATCTTGTATTAACTTAATAAGTCCCATATACTGTATTTTATTATTGATCGCTTTAAAATGTAGAAAATAAAATAATATTGAACCTAATTTTGAATATCAAATGCTAATACTTACTTTTACCTGTTGGATTGCAGCATGGGCATGCATTCCCACTGGTGTAAAGACACCTAAACCATCAAATCGGGGCGGTTCTTTAGGTGAATGGATAGCAAAGGTTATGCCAGCATCAACAAAACCAAGATTGGGATCATCAGTGAACTGACCCTAATAAGATTATTTAGAGAAAGACATAGTAAAATAAATGGGATAAATTCCATGTCAGTGATCTATTAATTGCTCTCCTGCAAAATGATCTACAGTGTTGATGAATTAAAACGAAACAACACAAACTGTATAGCTATGAAGTATTGCTATATTATGTAATATGGCATTTTTATTATTAATTATCCTTCAACCATACTGGTTAAGATTGCCATTCTATATACACATACTGGACAGCAGGTCTGTTGAATACTAGCGCGGGAAATACAAGCGCGGGAATAAAGGACTCCCCTTCTGATTGGTTCCCGGGCGGCGCCGGTTCAATCCT